ATACACCCGCTGTGCTGTGCAATAAATTCGTGTTTATTTAGAATACACCGCAGGCGGGAAATTTCTATGGAATTTAGCAAATGTCTCTAAATGAAATTAATTGCCCGAAAGGGCTGTTGTGTTAAATATAAGTTTTATCAAACTTGGTCCATTTGTTGACACAGTTATTGGTTGAAATGAAACTCCTTGAGCAGCTGGCAGAAACATTAAACCGTTACAAGAGAGGTGGATGGGTTGAATGCCACCAACATTTTCTTGACAGATTTTTCAAATTTACAATGAAAACCATTCTCTTGAGAAAATTACAAATCTAGATATATTATTATCTGAAAAATCTGATCTCAGCAAAGAATCCCTGAATAAGCTTGTCTTCAGCGCGAAAATTAACAGTCATCTGGTAGTGCTGCCTTTCACTTTTATATACTTATAGTTACCCTCGGACCCAACCCTACAACTGTTTTCAATTTTCACAGAAACCCTTTTCTCACAACTTCTTTGATCTCTCTCAATAAATTTCAAGCCATAAGCTGAATTAAAGCCTAAGAAATGCGTCTTTTGCCCTCACCCAAGCCGAAAATTAAGAAGGAAAGCAAGGGAACACACATGCATTCATACCATATATAATTCATACACAAGCCGCTGCCGTCAACCAGACGCACGCCAACGACAAACAAAGACCTTTTAAGGTGATATTAAATTGACAAAGGCAAGTTACCACCGTTTATTTTGTGTTGCTATTATTATTATGGTCCCACCTCAAAATAAAGGTCAAGGTATGAATTGGCTGATTAGTCTGTCTGGACTTTATGTGCACATTCGATCACCTTTTACTTTGCGCAAGTTAGCACAAGGTTAGCGAATTCGATGAGGGGTCAAAGTAATGGAATTTGTTTCTTTTCACAATGCATGCTTTTTTTTCTCTTTAGGGTTTTAACCGACGCCGTTGGTGCTCAGATTGGTTTGCTAAAATGTTAAGGAATGGAATGGAAAATTGAAAGAAAGGTTCTAAGCGAATTTGTGCCAATAAAATATTGAAAGATCAAAACGTGCTTTGCAGCAAAGGCATGCTTAAAAGTATAACAAAGAAGTAGACTTTTATGATGACATTTGGTTATTTATTTCTTCAATATTTTATCTACGACAGTTCTAATGACAGATTTTCATGAACTCGCATAGTGTTTTTGCATTTGCATTTAAATAATTGCAATTAATTTAGTATTGTGCCACAAGTCCATAAGATTTCAAACTTCAATTTTGTGCCACAAGTCCATGAAATTGCAAACTTAAATTGTGTTTCACGAGCTCATGAAATTTGTAATTTCTGGTTGTGTGTCACTTGTTCACAAACATTTCAAGTTTAATTTCTGTTCCACAAGATCACAAAATTTCAAACTTAAATTGTGTTCCAAAAGTTCATAAGATATCAAATTTGTATTGTGTGCCACAAGTTCATAAGATTTTAAACTTGAATTGTGTTTTATGAGCTCATAAAATTTAAAAATTTGGGATTTGTTCTACTTGTTCGTAAATATTTAAAATTTAGTTTGTGTTTCACAAATTTATAAAACTTTCAAACACTTTCATAAGATTTCGAACTTGAACACAAGTTCATAAGATATAAAATTAGATTTATGTGCCACAAGTTCATGAGATTTTAAACTAGAATTCTGTTTCACAAGTTCATAACATTTTCAAATTTGGGTTGCGCTCTACTTGTTCATAAAAATTATTTAATTCATCCGATTTAATTTATTGACTTTACAATTTTTTTTTTCTTTGCGAAATTAAAATGTTTTGCTCTCGATCTCTTGAATTTATCTAACACAATTCTATGGTTTGCTATTCGTAAGTTCCAGGCATGTTGCTCGTATTTGTAACTTAAGAAAATATAAGTTGCGATATGAATTCGTATTATTTTAGAAGTTCAAAAAGTACCATACATTAATTGTGTTTCATTTGTAAATAAAGTACATAATTGTGTTCCACAAGTTCAACAAGAAACATAATAATTGCTTCCGATTTTTGCTCAACTATTCTACTGCTTCACAAGTACATAATTTAACTGCAGCTTAAAATATATTAAATGAGAATTGTTGGCAATCCGAATCTCATTTCATATACTATATATCTAGTTAAGGCCAATATACTTCTAAGAGTTTATACGCTTGTCTTCTCTAGATGTAATTTTTTTACATTTATAATGTTTCACAAGATCATAAATCAATATTAATAATTTATTAACCACATGTTAATTGCATTACATAAGCTCATTAAGTAGTACTACCTAGTTTACATTTTACGATGGGGAATTGTAAACAACTGTAGTTTTTTTCCCGCAGTTCATAAAATTGTCAGGCTGAGTTTAATACATATGAGAAATGTGTTCCATATGTTCATAAAGAGCAAAAAAATGCGCGAAAAGTGTGTTTCATAAGTTCATAATACCGTTTCCTGGAATATTTTGTGTTCCACAAGTTCATAAAGTACCTAAATCTTCGGGAGAAGTTTGTTTCTTACATTCATAATACCGTTTCCTGGAGTATTTTGTGTTCTACAAGTTCATTAAGTGTCTAATTCTTCGTGAGAAGTGTATTCAACAAGTTTATAAGGTACCAAATAGCTTTGAACTTAACGTGAACATGAGATATACAGCATGGCAACGTGAAAACATATTTAACCAGTTAAAAAATTATTATAAAAGTAAATATATCGCTTCGAAAATGCCCTTAGTTTCAAAAATATACGCACTACGGTCATCAAAGGTGAATTTTTTGCTCCAAAGTTTTATTATTTTATTTATTATAATAATTTTTGCAGTTTTTGCATTTAACCGTGAATTGCATCATACACTAAATGCTCAGCTTTTTCTAGACGCTGTTCCCATAGCGCTCTTAAGCATATGCATATTTCAATTTCCAAATAACCATTAAAAATGCACCGAAGCTGCGAAATAAAGCGCTAATTACGGCATTTGGTCACTTGCTGCAGGTGATTCGCAGCGCTCTCCCACTCCCGGTGGTCCGCACCAAACGCCATAACCATTTGCTACTATCGTAAATTTTAATTGCTTTCGCTAAAAGTTCGTGAAATTTGTATTGTGCAGCAAACGATTGGGACTTTCAGGTGTTTAGGCGGTCGGATAGTGACTCGTTCGCGTGTGACAGGGTCAGTTCGTGCAATGATGACAAAGCTACCTTGCGAGAGCAAAGAGAGCGCATGAGTCTACGATAGAAATAGAGTTGTGTGCTGATTTTTTCATTCAGTGCAAGGCATTTTATATTTTATACCCGTAGCTGTCATATCAGCTTAGAATTGAGGGAAAATCTCATGACACACACTTGTCTATATGCGCAGATGCATATGTGACAATAATAATAATAAGTCTAGTTTATGATTTGTGGTTGTGCTGTCGTCGTTGTCGCTATGCATAGCGTGATTTTTGCAAATTGCCATTATGCATTGTAATTGAATTTTCTGCATCATTAAATTGTAAAAAACAACCATCAATTGCGATTTTTGCTACCAACAATTTGGATGCTAATTTTGGTGTTAATGAAGCGTCAATGGAAATTGGAAATTGAAATCTTGATTTAAATACTTATCGATTATTTGAGGATTGCTACTTTAAATCAGTTTGCTTTAAATATTTTTCATGAATTTCTTTATAATTTCATTAATTTCTTTGTTATGCAAAAGAATTAATTGAGGCTTTTTTTTTTGAATTTAAATTAAAA